TAGCTGACTTTTCTCCCTTTTCCAGGTTGTTAAAGAAACAGTGGTAGTTAGCAATTATAATGAACTACTTTAGAGGTGGTCCTTGCTTAACAATCACTTGTTGAGTGACCATTCAAAGTTACGGTGACACTGAACAAGTGGTATGTACCATTCACAGAGTTCTTGCTGTTGCAGCATCCCTGTGGTCACATGACCATGGCCTGGAGCTGGGTGACCAGCTTGCAGTTATGACATCGCAGCATCCCACAGTCACATGATTGCCATTTGTGACCTTCACTTCTGGCTTCCAACAAGCAAAGTCAACAGGGAACCTGGCAGGAGGTCACAAATGGTGATGTGATATCATGCTTAACAACGGCACGGGACTTGCTTAATGACAACAACTGGAAATGCTGGAACTGCTGTCGCTAAGCACTGCTGTCACATGACATCATGCTTTAAGACCACATTGCTTAGCGATGGAAATTCCAGTCCCAATTACCATTGTTAACCAACGACTACCTGTATAATAAACTTGAATAAATAATACAAATTACAGTATTTATGATTATCATCATAAGCCAGTAACAAACATTTACAATTTTATATAGCTGAACAGTTTGAAATAGAGATCATGGTTCACTATGGACTGAGCAAAACATTTTTTCAGACGAGGGGACAAGTTAACTTTCTCCAATAGCAGCAAAATGTGTAGGTGCATATAGAATGACACCTTTTTCAGACAATTTCCATTTATCTGAAAAATGGTGGCTTCTTTTCAGCGTCAAACACTTAGTTGAATGAGAAGCCTTAGAGCAATCTAATGAGCACTGATCAACAGGAAGCTTTGATAAAATCCCATAAATTCCATTCTCAGGTACAATGCATTCATATATTGAAGATTTTGAGAACTCAGCTAGCAGAAACATTTTATACTGCCATTTTTTTTCTACTGCTTCTAGTAGGACAACTCAAATATTAAAACAGGTTGCTCAGTCATACATTCCTGAAATCCAGTGTGATTTTTTTTTCCCCCTGGGCTGAAAGCTGCTTTTGAGTGACATGTCCAGGGCCATGTTCCAAAAAAATAGGAAAGGGCAGGACAAAATCAAATTACCTAATTTAAATTTAATCAAACATTTAATTAATACAGTATTCCCCCTGCCCCATATTAGCAGTGATCTTTTGGAGAGTCTCTGGGGGTCACAACCATTAGTTTCAAGGGACATATGTGGGCTATATAACTCTATCCTAGGTCCAAATATCTTTTCATAAAGTACTTTGATACTCCTGTATGATCAAGATTCCCTTTTATTTCAGTGGAAGAATCAGTTTCATCCATATATTCATTTGTATTTATAATGCCTTCTTTTCTCCTGAACTGAATGAAGCATCCTTGAGGCACTGGAGTTTTAAGCATAAATTGAAGCTCAAGAATTTATGGCTCTAGACTTTGATCAATCTTCAGCTATTTCATTAGAGTTACCAAGCAAACTAATAAGTCTCTTAGATGTTAGCTTTTTAAAACATTGACCAAGAAGCCAATTGACTGCCAATAAATCACAAAGTCCAAGGCTAATAGTCATATACACTTTTCCCACTTGTGCCAAAACATCTTCCTTCACAAAGAATAGACAAAAGTTATGTGTTTCTGTATTTCTGTTTTCTGTCTGTTTTCTACTCACTTGAATTGGATTTCCAGAAACTGGGTTTTTTATGTCTTTGGCTGCTATGATCATTCCCAGGGCAAAGTTGGCAATCCGTTCAGCATGGGTTGATACAGGCACAGGGACACCCCCTACAACCATGTAGGCGTCCCCTATGGTTTCCACCTTAAAAAAGAAAAGAAAAGAAATAAACAGATAAATCCTTTCATTTCAACAGACCATGCTGAGTTTAATTAAATATATTATATATTAAATATAT